ATGTCGTTAGGGGCTATGGAGTGAACTGTGACCCATAGTCAGTCTCTGAACAGATCTGAGCCATGCCCTGTCCTACATCGTCCTCCTAGAACTCCATTATTGTGGTTTATGATATTTTTCTCTTCTGTAAACAGGAAAAATCCTGTTAAAACCTGAAAATTCTGTGAGGGAAAAAAACTTGTATAATTTTGGGGCTCGAATTTTGGGAGTGTCTCCATTTCTGCTTTTTCTGCTTTAATGCATTGCTTGGCTGGTTGGATTTTATGATCTGAATGTTTTCTTATTTTTAAGGTGTCCTCTGCTGCCCTGCTTCTGGAGTTACTGGCATTTTTGAGGGTATTTCTCTGGTTTGTGGGGGTTCAGGTGTGAAGGCTTCTGTCTCAGTGCTCCCCTGTGCAGCCCAGTGGAGCCTGTGCGCCCCCTGCTGGCCCTATGTCAGGGAGGATTGAGGCCAACCTGAATTTTCTTAGTATGTCTTGTTTTCACTACTTGAGTTTGTTGTTTCATCCCAGGTCTGGGAAATAGTGTTAGAATGTATATTAGAATGTATCTGTGTATCACTCTTCATTAATTTACTCAGCCCTTCTTCTATCATGTTTGAGGCTGTAAATATATTTTTTAATCATTAAACAATTTTTAATTTGAAATATATTTGAAATACTATTATGACTATCAAACCACGGACTGATTAAACATAAGGACATAGCTAAATTGGTGAGGTGTTTAAAATTTTTATTTTTTATTGATTAGCTTACAAAGTTCATATATACTGTGTTTCACACTGTTCTTCATTCACATTGTTTCATACAATCATTCCCATTATGTTTTATAAACTTAATCACCATTGGGCTATGCCCACCACTACCCTGTCTTTTCAGGTCCCCGCTGGATCTTTCTCATTTCCTTTATCCCCTCCTCCTACCCACCACATTGTTGAGACCCTGTGATTTCCCCATTTATCCTCCCTTCTCCTACCCCTCCACCTTGGGTCTCCATTCATGGTTTACTAGTTATCCTTCTATTTTTACAATAATGGTTTTATGTAGTATTTGTCCTCATGAGACTGAGTTAGTGCACTCAGCACGGTGCTCTCCAGTCTCTCCCAGGTTATGTGAATCTTAATGGGAGAGGCTGCCCATCTTTATCCTGATATAGTGCTGGTGGATTCCACTCTGTAGAGACGCTCAGCCTTTCAACTAGCAACACCACCTGCTTAGACGGGATTTTTTCCTGTTCTTTCCATCAATTCTTATTTGATCAGTCAGTTCTGTTGGCATCATCTGGGATTTCTTCATCCTCTTTGGTGTACTTTTAGCCCTCCTCTTTGTCACCAGTTATCTCTTAAACTCCCTGAAAGGAATGTATAATTAGGCATTATGTGCATGACAATAATCTGGAGCAAGAGGGGCATTACCGAGTAGACTAGGAGAGGAAAATGTCCAACAATGAGTGAATCAAAAGTTAGGCTTTCTGTAAACTTCTATTAAAATCACAATTTTTTAAAACCCCACAAAAGCCTCATATGAAACCCACGCTGTTGAATTTGTTCTGATTCATAGTTTCATGTTGACTGTTCATCAGGTTTCTAAAGCTTCACATCTTTATAGGAAGAGACTGCCTGTGTGTCTCCCAAGAAGCAGACGGTAGATTTAAACCATTGATCTGTTAGTTAGCAAGCAGTATAACATGACATGCTCTGTGCCCGCAGAGCTCCGTGTCATTAAGTTAAAATTACTTTTCTTCAGTTCTACTGGACTATTTTTTTTTTATGCTCAACTTTATTGAGGTCACAGGTTTCCTTAGCTCTGTAATTTCATTCTCACATGAAGGATAGGAAGGCGAAGAGAAACTAGGCATTAGGTAGAATCACAATGCAAACCACCAAGAAGCCTCCTACTTTTAGAAATTGTCAAATTGAGATAGTGTGTGCACAGCCCTTCACTATCACAAATAATGCAGTTGAGTTTGCTACATTTGGGGAAATGACCAGGGTCACCCCACCCGAGTTGTGATGGGCGAACCTTACCCTGGGAGACCCATCTCCATGATCATGAAGTGTCCTGAATTAAGTGTGGTACTTACCTCTGTCAAGTATCTACTACACACTCTTGACAGGCCAAGTGGTAGGTGACAGTGTCCAGATGGCCCTCAGAAAGCAGGAGAATGGCACATCTCTTTTGACATGTTGTTTACATGATTTTTGAGAATTATTGTTCTTAACCGGCACTTGGGATACATAGAAGGGCTTTTGTTTTTGTTTGTTGTTAGTACTTTTGATATGGCACAATGATGAGGCCTCTATAATTTCAGCCTTTGGAGATTGGTGAATATGCCTCTGTGGTCTCATTGAAGTCATGCTTTAAAAGCACCGTGACTATAGTAAAGTGGGTGATGTTCAGCAGCTAACACTATCGGGCTCCATGGGAATTAGTCTCTGCATGTGGACTGTTTCCTTTGATAATTAGAACAACTCGATGAGGAGATGGCTATTGTTGTTAGTCCCACTCTACAGATGAGGGAACTAGAGCATGGGAAGGAGGGGCAGTTCCCCCAGAGTCCTTCATGTGGGAGTCAAGGGGCTATGACTGAGCCTCCGAGTGGCACCCCCACCCCGACTCTGTCCATCCTCTGACAGTGTGGTTGGTCACTGTGTGGTGCCGAGTATTTTTGTCTGGAGGCTGAAAGCTAATTGTGCTTCACCCCAACATTGCTTTAATCCGTGTGTGTTGTGTGTATGGGAGAGTGTGAAGGTGGAGCAGGCGAGGGCAGGGTGAGGTACTGAGCTGTTCAAGGTTGCTCACTCAGTTGTCCTTGACTCGGTGGCTCCGATCAGCACCACCAGCCCTTGAGGAAGTGTGCAAATCTGAATTCCCACCTGAATGTTCTTCCTGTGGCATTTCTGAGTCTAATTTGACTCCTTCCTTGGTGTCTGCATATGCTTGTCCCCGGACCTTATCAAAACAATCTTTTTTCAAATCGCTGTGAAACAATACAGCAATTTATCACCTTTATTTTCTACCAGATGTAAAAAATACTCCTCTGTCCCTTTTATTAAAATAAGATCATATTTGTAGAACTAGTGATGCGACAGTTTTCACTTACAGTGCAGAATATAAATATATATGGTAAACTGCTATGATAGTAATGTTTCTTATTTATAAATAAAATCTAGTGGTGCTGAAGAAGAGTCTTGAACATACCATGGACTGCCAAGAAAACAAATATGTCTGTCTTGGAGAGGATGAAACCAAGTCTCTCCTTGGGGGCCAGGATTTTGAAGGTCTGCCTCACTTACTGTGGGCACGTGGCCAGGAGAGATCAGTCCTTGGAGAGGGACATCATGCTTGGAAGGGTGGACGGACAGTGCAGGAGAGGGAGACCCCGGATGAGATGGATTGATAAAGTAACTGGGGCGATGGGGATTGGTGTCTTTAGACTGCCTCAGGACAGGGCAGGGTTCAGAGCTGCTGTTCATAGCGTCACTGGATATTGCAGGAGACTCAATGGCATATAACAACAATGACATACTAGGTTTGGAATCAGGAGTGTCATCTACTTCCTAACAACCTGCTTCCAGAAACTATGAACTTTGATAAATGTCGATAGTTGTAGAGGGGCTTCAGGCCTTTTGTTCATAGGGTCGCTGTGAGTCATGCTCAACCTGAAAGCAGTCAACGGGAACATAAATTTTCCTTTTATCTTGGTTTACTTATAAAGTTCTTTTATATTGTTTCACACTATATTATCATAGTCATTACATATGTAAAAACTCATTGAATCTACTAATAAAGAACAGAGACCTTTAGCAATATGCCTCTATATTCAGAAAGAAAAAAGATTGATGATTCTTTTCCTCTTTTCTCTGATTAAGATCTTTTAAAATTTATGTGTCTAGCAAAATTTAACAGAACAGCAAGCAACAAATGCTGGCGAGGTTGTGGAGAGACTGGAACCCTGATTCACTGTTGGTGGGAGTGTAAAATGGTGCAACCACTGTGGAAAGCATTGTGGCACTTTCTCAAAAATTTGCAAATAAAGATACCATTTGACCCAGCAATTCCACTACTGGGAATATACCCTAAAGAGACCATAAATGACATCCAAGTAGATATATGTATACCCATGTTTATTGCGACTTTGTTTACAATAGCAAGGAGTTGGAAACAACCTAAATGCCCATCAACAAACGAATGGGTAGAGAAGCTGTGGTATATTCGCACAATGGAATACTATGCTGCATTGAAAAACAAGGAACTCATGCAATATTATTCAAAATGGGTGACCCTGGAGGACATTATGCTGAGTGAGGTATCTCAGTCACAAAGGGACAAATGCTATATGGTGCCACTGTTGTAGAATGAGGCTGGCGTTGGGGTGGGGGTAAGACTGAGAAAAACTGGATGAAATATGTTTACGGCATTGAAGTCTATGGGGGAGAGAATAGTCTAAAAGTATTATATTTTAGGGCATTATTTTTATCGTAGGAGTATGCAATGAGGGTTGCAGAGTGGATTATATTTGGGGGTAGGGGGTGGGGTTTGGGGAGGTGCAGGGGGAATTGTGTACCAATGAGGGAGTTTTTCTTTTGCTTTTCAAGGAAAGGAGCAAATGGGGGGAGGGGGAGGGGTTTGTGCGGGGAGAAGGGTGCAACAATGAATGAATGGAATCCCAAAATCTCTGTAGATGTTCATTGAAATGAAAAATAAAACAACCTAAATTTAAAAAAAAAAATTTAAGTGTCTCTCTTCCTGTCAAGCCACAGCCTGTCTCAGGCTTGTCGCTGTGCAGGCAGTGTTGTAAAAGACATTGATGCTCATGTCCCCTGCGTACACGAGGAGGCGAGTGTTCCTGGGTTGTATGTCTGGGGTTGGATGGATTTGTCTGATCATCTGTATTTTTATTCCTTGTTCTTAAGTCCATTCGTGCGGAATGTGACTGACGGGGGTGGTGTCCTCACTCCTTGCTCTCCTCTTCCAACCCGGTTATATGTTCTTTTACAGACGGGCCAAGGTTGCTCGGGTGATTGGCTTGCTGGCCTCGCACACGACGGAGCTCCAGGAAAACACACCTGTTATCGAGGTACCTTCCTCCATGTGTTACTCACCTGGTAGGAATGACAGATTGTTCTTGACTTTGCACTGGAGAAGATGCAGCTTTCTTTGACCTTCCCTAATTTTTCTTTGTGAATTGAAGCAGTGATTATAAAAACAGATAAACTCAGTAGATCTTGAGGTTTAAATATACAGAAGCTCTGTACTGACAGTCTGTTAGTGAAGGTGACATGACGGAGCCACCAGGCCTGGAGAACGCTGGCTGTCACTACTTGAATTATTTTTTGGATAAGTCTTGTTTCATTATTCTTGTAGTCTACCCAGCATTTTATGATAACTCTAAAGCTTCTGCTTAAAGAAAAAAATCGCAAGTATTTGCCTTTTCACCTAATGAATTTAGTGTTCTCGCTTTTACCAGCTGTCGTTTGTTCCTGACAGAGTTGTAAGTACTGACTGGCCATGCGTGCTGAAAATTCGACCCTGGGTACTTTAAAAATTCTAATACTAAGGAGAATTTCTTACGGATAGATTTAACTCATAATTTCAAATCCCATGAAGTTAATGTACTCATTACATTGCTTTTTTTGAGTGCACTTGAAATAAAAGGTGGTTTCTGCCTGCCCTGTTAAGGTGTGTGACAATTGAGAATAAATTTTATCCCCTTGGATTGAGAGGCTCAGATATAAAAAAACAACAACAAAACAGCTGGCTACTCTTAGGTCAGTTCTGAGGCTGTAAATGGCAGTGGGGGAAGGCTGCTTGTCAACATCTCTTCCACGGGGCTGTTGATGGATTTGAACTGCCAGACATGCAGCTTTTAGATTAACAGCTCAGCCTGCTGTGGGCAAAATCACCACAGTTCCTTAAATGCAAAACTGTTTAAAATACCACTCCCTAAAATGTTCCATTGAGTCAGACCAGACTCGTAACTGATCCTGCAGCAAATGTTCAAAGGCTGTCAACGGCATGAGAGGAGATTGCTCACCTGTCTCCCAAGAAATACCACGTGGATTTGAATCCCCTGCCTTTCGGGTTGGCAATGCATGTCCTTACCACTAGGCCACCAGAGCGCCTTAAATGTCAAACTTGGTGAACAGAACTTGGCCTTCTCTGGGGCAGGGCAGGCCCCTCTGAAGGAAGGAGGAAGTGTTAAAGAGAGGGGATTGTTAAAGAAGCTGGTGGTGTGCTGTTGGGAGCTTCAGGGAATAAACATTTTAATAGGTGCTACCCAGAAGAATTTTTTGCAGTGATAGAAAACATTTTGTAACTACCTTGTGTCAGATACTCAACTCATTGCTGTCCAGTGGGAACTGACTTTGGAGCTAACACTCCAGCGGGTTTTCAGAGGCTGTAATTTTCATGGGAGGAAATTGTTCATCTTGTTTGCTTGGAGAAGCTGGGTGACTGTGATTCGAACTGCCTGCCTTGGGGTTGGAGGAGTGCAGCTCTCCATCTCCTAGGCCCCCAGAGTTCCCTCTACATGGTCTGGTACCGTAGAATCAGCACTGGGAGACTGCAGAGATAGATGAACAAGAGATTAGTTTTACCTCACTTGATTTTTTTTTCTTCAATAATTCTATCTCTTGTGGATTCTATTAGAAAATCTAATCTGTTTCCTATTACATTTCACGTCTATATGATCTCTGAGCTACCAAAGAAAATGACACTAAATCTAAACTTCTTTCTGGAATGAGTGGAAATGAATTGTGACTCATTTGATTACTGTTGTTGCTACATGCTGTCTACTCAACTCCCAACTACTAGCAACCCTGTGCATGCTAGCTCTGGAACCTGCTCTGTCCTGAGTCGATATCGCTGTCTCTGACACACCCTCATTAACCCAGTTACTGTGTCGGGCTATCTCATCCAGGGTCTTCCTCTCTCGCGCCATCCCTCTATCCTTCCAAGCATGATGTCGTTCTATAAGGACTTGTCCATCCTGGCAATAAGCCCAAACACAGTATGTGAGATGGAGCTTCAAAGTCTTGGTTTCCAAAGAACAGCTTGGTTTCACCCTTTCCAGTATAAACCTGTTTGTTCTCTTTGCAGTTCATAGTATGATCAATGCCCTTCTCCAGCACCACAACTCAAAGGCATCAATTCTTTTGTCATCCTTATTCATTATCTAGCTCCCTGATGCATAGTAGTAATTGCAAAGACCATGGCCTGGATCAGGCACACCTTAGTGTCTAGACTGACTTTGTTGCTCTTCACTCTTGAGGTCTCTGACAGCGGATTTCCCTAATGCAATTTGCCTTCTCGTTTCCTGACTGCTAGTGTTAAGAGTGTTGGTAGTGGAGCTGAGCAAGCGGAAATTGTTAACAATCTCAATCTCTTCTCCATCTCTTTTTTTTTTCTATAATTATATTTTATTAATTTTCATAAACATTTACAGAGATTTTGGGCTTCCACTCATTCATTGTTGCACTATTCTCTCTACCCTCCTCCCAGTTTGTTCTTGTCCAAATGCCACAGTGCTTGTCAAAGTCAGTTCTGATTAATCTCCTTTGTCAAGTGTGTCCTTTGCCATTCCCTATCACTCCTCCCTGAGAGACTTCACCCTGATTCATAAGGAAAAGGGGATGGCGTATTCTCTTAGCTACTTCCTGCTGAAAAGGGACGCTGTGGGTTTCAGGGTGAAGATCTTCTCTCACTACTCTAAAGGGCCCCTTTGGCAGTAGGAAACACATAGACTATTATGGAGATTGATTTTGGAATTCAGATGCACTCTTATTGATTGTGCTTGGCTGTACTTCTCCATCTGTCTTGGTGCTGCCAGTTTGCCCAGTGTTGAGAATCTGTTTCCTTGATGTTGAGATGCAATCCAATGGCAGACTACGCTCAGTTCGGCTACACTTGATGTACTGTTGTTGGCGTTATGTGCCGTGAGTTGGACTCGACTCCTCTGACCCTCCAGTGGGTTTGCAGAGTCAGAAAATCACCTGAGAGGAGATTGCTCATCCTTATTCCAATGGTGCGGCTGGTGGATTTGAGCTGCGTGTGTCTTTGGGATTGTAACGCACGCAGCCTCTTCACTAGGCCACCAGAGCTCCCTCTTGATGTATAAGGTAGATTTTTATCTAAAAGATAGTAGATCAGGTAGAACTAATAAGTACGTGAGAAAGCTTTAAGACCTCAAAACCATGCATTCCTTTTGATGACTCAGTGCAAAGAATCTCTGCTGAAACAGGGTTGATGTAGGAGAATGGAGAGAACTTGAGGGGGCTTCTAAGCCAAAGTCTTGAGATTCTAGGGGACATGGCTACACAGCTTAAGGGAGGCAGTTCTAACACTGGCTCAGGTGGCCTATGATGGAGCCCTGGAAGGTGGTCGGAATATGACTGTTGAAGTGAAATATTTAATAGATGCTGTAAAAAGTAAAGTAGAATGGATACTTGAAGAAATTGAAGTTGTGAATTTGAAAATCATTTGAGTGAATCCTCTTAGAAGTCAAAGAAGATAAAAATTACGACTTAAGGAATAAAAATACAGTTGCAGAAGATTTGTCACCTTTCATAAATGGTCCTTGAGTGCTTGAAAATGGGCTATTCTGAGTTGACATAAGCTATAAATGGAGACCACACACTGGATTTTGAAGATTAGTATAAAAAAGGTTAAGTATGTGGTTCTTTTTTCATGCTGGTTAAATGCTTGAATGAGAAAATATTTCAGATATTTTGCCCTTATAAAATATATTTTAAAATTTTAGATATTTAAACTTAAAAAATGTAACTGTGTGGTACTGTGGGCATGACTATGCAGAATCGCCACTGCCGCTATTCCTGACCATCTTGATGAACGTTTTCCTAGTGTTTGCTGACCAACTGTGTAACCGTACTTGATGTCTTTCTCCAGGAAATGTCCCCTGCTGACAACATGGGAGACAGAGTCCTTTTATTCTTGCTTTTAAGGAGCATCCTGGCTCTACTTCCAAAAAGTTTTGTTGGTTCATTTGGTATGTTCAGTACTCTTGACAAACACCACGATTCAACTATCCCATATCTGTGACTAGATAGAACATGCCATGCCTTAGATCAGGTGCACCTTAGACCTAAACATGACAGCCTTGCTCTTTAGCACTTTAAAAGTGGTCCCTTACAACAGGATCTGTGAATTTGAAGATCAGTTGCATGAATTATAATTCAGAAGAAAAAGATGAAAAATTAACTGTATGCTGATCCTCTCCTTACTCACCTCGTGGGATCCCGCTCAGCGCCGAACGTTCCTTGTTCTTCCTTATAGTGTCAGCCAGCATGTTTGGGGGGCTGGTGGTTGTCTGCCTCATCTGCTTCCTGTGGCCTCTTTTTGCAAAGGGCTGCTATACCCTCCGCTGGAAGATGAACGGCATGATCACCACAGACTCCTCCTGCACCTACGTGTCCTCCTCCAGAGCCTTCAGCCTGCAGTCCATCATCTCCACGATGCCCTCCAGGCTCAGCAACTGGGTCTATGACAGAGACAGGGCTGTGTCTCCGTAAACTTTGCAAAAGGCATCTCCAGAGCCTCTTCCCGCCCTCAGGCCCCACTCATTCTCGTCCCCCGTGCCCAGATCTTGCCACCTTCGGGGCCAGCTTTGAGAGAATGAGCATCACAGGCTGCTTTCTCCACTCTGTTGACATTTTCATTTTTCATTTCAACTCTTTCATTCCCAAATAAAACTTCATTTCAGAATCAGCTGTGAAAAAAAATTATCTGTATGCTGAATAAATAATTTGAGAAGCTGGACTTTATGAAGATGGCATTAGAATTGGAGGAAGACTCATTTACAGTTTGTGTTAAGCAGATAACACAACCTTGTTTGCAGAAAGTGAAGACAACTTGAAATACGGAAGGTGAAAGACTGCATCCTTCAATATGGATAATACTTCAACATCAGAAGACTGGAATCCTTGGCATTGGACCAGTAGACAACATCATAACAGATGGAGAGAAGATTGACATTGTCAGTTATTTGATTTTACTCAGATCCTCAATCAACAGGGCAGGAGCAGTCAGCAAATAAAAAACCATGGTACACAGATTTGCTGG